GGCGGGAATCATCATCGCTAATTTGTCCAGTACTTAAGTTTATGACCAAATACCTGCAAAACAAATGATATTCCCACCAGCCTCAGCTGCACTTTGTGCTACTTCAAGAATGAACTTCAACACTTAGTTTATATTATTGTTTTCTGACCTTCCCCTGCAACTATTTAAGGTCAGTTTGCTTTAGACGCAAAAACTACTTGTTTAAGGTTCTTTTTATTAATCCATCCCTGCACCCCGATCTCCTGCATGTGGCATTTTGCATACTCTGCAGATGTAAGGTATTTGAACAAACAGCCAATGCTCTTGTGTTTTCTTGTAAACATTTTGTTGTCCAAACACCAGCAGCTGTACATTTTGTTTGCCTCAAAAAAAAAAAAAAATTCTAAAATTGGCGACATTTCCCTCCAAACGAGGAACTCTCTGATCAGAGAACAAATAATCAAGAAGTATCTGACCAGGGAAACATGTTAGGGAAACATTTTGGTTGGTACCCGATAAGTACTGAGGTTCAATACCCAGCTTTAGTAGGGTAAGGAGGGCCTTTCTCCCGCATCGTGACTGAGTTGCCATGCTCTTTTTGGCAGTGCAGTATAGTTGCTCAGGAGCTTGATGTATGCAAAGCTGGGATCACGACTGCAGCTCGACAGAGGAGCTCTGTTGTGTGATTTGTCTTTGAATGGCGCTGTTCTGCAGGTCGTGCTGGTGTGTGGTGGGTGAGGAGGAGAAGAAGGCGAGAGGAGGGCAGAGGGGGAGGAAAGAGGGTAGGGAAGGGGGAGAGCAGAGCGGTGGCAGAGCTAAATAGGTATGCGATCAAACGTTCTTCGGGCCACATCAAAAGGGGCCAGATCAGGGAGATGTCGTGCTCCTGCTCGGCAAAATAAAGCTGATGCCTTTTGTTTTTTTCTACCCCCATGTGTTTACGGGTGCATGTGTGTGTTTGAAGCAGCTCCCCGGAGACGTGCAGGAGCTGGCTCACTGGGTGCAGCGGCATGATGTTTGGCCGAGTGCCAGTGCAGCAGCAAGGCTAATGAACGGGCAGCAATGTTCCGAGCTGTGGGTGAGTGTGGGAGCCAAGCAGAAAGACAGACAGAGAGAGATGGAGAGTGGAGAGGATTGTCTCTTGACAGGAGTGCTGTTGACATGCTACCTAGCCCTCCACTCCCACACTCAGCAGCACTGATACAGCTCTCCATTTCTCTTTACTGCCTCGTTGGAATGTAATCAGCACAAAGTCAGGCCAGGTTCTCACGCTCTGTAATATTTTCTCCATTACAGGTGCAACAGAGGTGGCTGCTGAAAAGGCTGATAAAATGTACAGGGATTGAGCAGAAAAAAGCTTGTTTTTATTGTTTATTCATCTATAATTTTTGTGCAATCAGCAGTCAAAACCTCCACTTAAAATCATATAACTTTGTGATATATCAGCAATATTGAAGCTACCAATGTATTTTGGTGTTTTTTCTTAATAAATGACCTTCAATCAATTTGCAAATTGCGCCGATTAATAATTAATCAACAAGTTCTGCGACCCATATGACCACATAAGTCACAGGTGACACTTGTAACGTGGTGAAATGGTCACAGCTGCACAAAAACTATGTGTTTGAGTGTAGGCAAGAGCATTTCTTGGTCAGGTTTAGAAAAACCATTATGGTTTGGGTTACATGAAGTACCTTTGTTGCAAAGGTAATGTAATATCCTCCTTTGCTTTAATAATAATTACTATGGCTACTTGAGGACAAATAAACTTAAGTAAGTGTTGTATCTTTGCTAAAAACAACCTATGTGGTCATATTTTGGAGGACAATCTGTTATTAATAGTTGATTTTCATCAGTTGACTAATTTATTGCTGTGACTAACAGACTAACACTTTCTTTTGTTACCAACTTGTTAATTAGTTTATGATTAGTCAGTGAATTGTTTGGTATATAAAATGTGAGGAATACGTGTAAAAATGCTGATCACATGGCCAAAGTAATGTCTCATCAACGATCCAAAACCCAAAGATATTTAGTTTACAACGTCATTAAACAGATAGAAGCAGCACATCCTCATATTTGAGGTTCTGGAAACAACAAGTGTTTAGCTTAAGTATTACCAAGTTCTTGTTAACACCAGTAATGTGTTCTATGGTTGAGTCTACATGCTGACAACAGCTTCCAGCTGCAACCATAAATAACACTATGAGAGCAGCGAACCACAACAATAAAGCTGTCAACACATTCTCATTCAACCTCTTCATATATCAACCTTTGGTCATGGATTTTCCATGTCCAGATATGACATGCAAGGTACCCTGGGTGCGTTGGTTGTTGACGTTCTGCCTGTTACGTGCATTGTCTTCTTTCAAATACACTTCCGTTTTCACAGGAAATGTAATGTTTACATACAGTCTCTTTCAAAATAAACGCAGTGCATCGGTACAATACCACAAATTTACTTTTTTTTCCCCTCAACAACAAACACGTAGGGTTTGGCTTTGTAGTCTTGCGGGACGTGAACACCATCTCCTGGGTGAACGTTGGTGTTTGTTGGACCCATCCATCACCACTCCCGACCGCCACACTTGGACTTTCACAGGCTTAACTTTCATTCTTGTCCTGCCACGATTCCCTCTGACCCCGCCAGGCACCATTAAACTATAACGGCGACCAGCTATGTATCATGCCGACAGCTTTAATCAACAGTGTCTGACACTGCAGGTCACTGCCTAGGTGCTGGATTTCGATGACTTTGGAGGGAGAGCGGGTTGAGGTTGTGGGCCAGATAGCTGAGCAATGAGTTGAAACTGACTGTAAAGTTCTGTAAAGCCAAGGGAAGCTGCAGATTATATTTGGAAATATCGATTATAGCCATTTAAAAAGTGTTATTTAAAGGAACAGTATGTGCGATTTAGTGACATCCAGCGGTGAGGATTGCAGATTGCAACCAGCTGAATGGTTAGAATTAGAATTCCTTCCATGTTTCTCCAGTGCTGTTTGGCATGTTCGAGATGGGCTACAAGCTAGCATCTGTTAGTATATCCCAGGCATTACGGAAGTTTTTACCATGACCGGAATTATCTGCAGAGGTCTCCTCCTCTTCAAAACAAATAGACTAAGTAATTCAAACCAGTAAAAATACTGAATAAAGCAGTTTCACATTTTAAAACATCAATGTTTTCCGACGCTCTCTTCTCAAAGGGGCTAACTATTGTTGCTGACGCGAAAACGTGAATGACCCTTTCTAGAGCCAGTGTTTGGTTTGTCTTTTCTGGGCTATTGTAGAAGAGGTGGTGAACATGGCGATCTCTATAAATGAGGATCCACTCGCTGTGTAAATATAAACAACTCATTCTACAAAAACAAAACGATTCTTATTTGCAGGTGATTATACACTAAAGAAAACATAGTTTACATAATTATATTATATTCCATCTCTGCCAACATATCCCCCTAAATCCTCCACACTGGGCCTTTCAGTTCTGTTCAATCAAAAAGCTGCTTCTCAAATGTTTGGATGCGATGAAATTGTAACTTTATGACCTCTTTCCTGATGTGATGTGTACATGCTACAGAGAAGCTGTTTTATTTGAGTTCAGTTCTGGGCATTAAAGTTTATTGTTAACCTTGAAAATAGCAGTTGGCATCTCCAAAGCTCCAGAACAAAGCTAGTAAGTGGACCTTGAGATAAATATTCCTCCTATTGGCTGCTATAGGGGTTCTTATAAAACAACACTCTCAAGGGTTTAAGTTTTGATAAATAATCTTACAGTCACTGCTTGTTTAACACATTTCTCATGCAGAATCAAAAATCTGTCTCCAACAACAACAACACCACAAATGGCAGATGAGGCAGAGGAGAGTTTCTAACTTACTGATGGTGGCAACAGTGCTCCGTCCCTTTTCTCTTTCTAACCTTTACACAGTTTGATTGCATCTGCGTTAATGGCTTACTTTAATTGCTCTCCTTCTATTCTTGACCTTGACGTCACAGCAGGTGACACCTGGATCAAAACACTCCAGCCCCTCCGCACACCTCTGCGGTCCACAGTTGTCATGACACCCCACGTACCTGACATTGTCATGACGTTGGATGTAGATCTTGTGAAAGATCCGCTCAGGCGGCTTCAGGAAGTCCTCCTTCATCTCCATGGCAACATTCCTGGGCAGAAGGCTCATTAGCAGACGCTCCTGAAGAAGGAGGGGTTAAAACAGAGGAAGAGGAGGCAACATGAGAACTTTAAACTGGGAGGACATATATGTACATACTGTAGGTTTCTTCTTCATGCAGGCATGAGCAGACAAACAGAAACACTTTGTTCTTTGCAATATGGAGCGAAATGACACAAAAAATAAATATACTTCTTTGTGTATTGTAGTGAAATGACCAAATAAATAGTCAATTAACAGAAAAGTAACCTTTTTTTACCTGAGTAATTGTTAAAGCCATTTGTTTTGCACAATTGGTTGATCGATTTGGTGATTTTTCAAGCTCAAATAAAAGATTCAGCTAAGAAGTGAAGAAGTTTATTTTCCTTCAATCTTAGACTGAATATCTTTGGGTTTCCGGTTGTTAGCCAGACAAAACAGACAATTTGAAGACACTAATTAGTCATTTAGAAAATCATGCAGGGTATTTCAAGACAATTTTGGACATGTCATAGACGAAATTATTTAACAGGAAAATAAGAAGCAAACTAACCAGTAATGATGGTAATCATAAGTTGCAGCCCCCAGTTCAATGTCTTTGGTTTAGAACTCTTAGAAACACTGAGAACAACGCTGAGCATTAACACTATTACCTGAGATTTTTCGACTGGACAATTAATCGATTAATCAATTGTGTGAAAAGTGGCATCACATTTTCCAGATCCCAACATGATATCTTCAGATTTCTTGTTGTGTGGAACCTACAGTCCAAAACTAAAAGATAATCCAATATAAAATGTAGAAATAATATAAAATATAGTGATATAAAACACAGAAACCCTTACACAAGAATGTCAGTATCAGACGAAACTGAAAAACCTGAGATTTTGTTCAGGGTTTTCTTAATGTTCAGTTCCACTGCTCATTCCAAAATCTAGCATCTACAATAAGTGGAAATGGTTAACAGTGATTATGGCCAGTAAACTATGGTTAGGGTTAGGCAAGTACAGTGGTGTAGTGGAGGATATACATACAGAATCATCTAATATGGACTTTATTACTTTTCAAATGTATCATATCAGTGTTTCTAAAACGATGTGGTATGTGAGCTGACTTTTAATCTGGAGGTGAAGGGGATGGTGGATGAAGTGTCACTGAGGCAAGATGCCTGCAAGCAGCAGAACACTGTTGAGACCAACAAACAACAATACCCGTTATCGCTACATTTCCAGCAGCTTTTTAGCCAGCAAAGGCTGGTATTTTTTTTACCAGTCACTGTGTTTTCTGTCAGGATAGCACCACCAAAAGTGGCTGTTTTTTTACAATGATATTGCTGCTTTTTCTGCTGAGACTGTGCCACCAAAAGCTGGTATTTTAAGCCCAACCTAGCCACATCCAAACACAGTGTTGATAGTACGTAAAGAAATGGAAAGTTTCAACATATCCGCTACACAATAACTAACAAATGTAATGTGTTGGGTTGTGATACAGGACCGAATCTTCACATGAGGAGAAGCTCAAACTGAAAAATGTTTGAACAATAATAGATAATCAAAACTGTTGTGTCAATTCATTTTCAGTCAAATCAATTAATCAGCTAATTCTTTCAGCGCCAGCCTGAAGTCGTATCTACACAGATCAGCATGTTTGTTTTTGTGTGTGTGAATCGTCTCAGTTGCAGCAGCACAAAGTACTCTTGAAACTCTCGCAGGATGTCAAATGGTTGTGAATGCACAATGAATCATCAGGCGGCTCTGCTGAATAGCTGTTGAGAGGCAGGTTATAAAAGCAGCCAGGGCTCTCCTGTGTCTCCCTCCAACACGGCTGCACATTAGACATCCATTCACACAACTGCTCCTCACCTGCTGAATGAAACACTAAAGTGGAGAGTGGCTTTTAGAAACAGCCATCACACTTACTGACGGAGGCTGTGTGTGAAACTGTGTCGGTCCATATGTCCTTGTGTTTCACTTATACACACATGTGCATCAGGTGTAAAAAAAAAAAAAAATCATCATAAACAAAGTGTTATCAAGGTGTTGCTGTTTAAATGAAATCATACATTTACCTGCTTCATTAATCTCTTCCATTCCTCCTCCCCAAATGTGTTATAATTCCCATTTTTCTGATCTGTCCCAGGTTTAATTCACTGTGTGCTCAGTCTGACGATGGCTCTTCTCATCGTGGTTTATTAATGAACCAACGGCTCCACTTTCTCTCACATTAAAAATGAAGAACCCCTGTCGTCCAGATTAACATGAAGGAGGAATTCCCAGAAAACCTTTGCATCTTTGAAATGAACACTTTGAAACTGAACGAATCCAACTTGTTTAATGTGTTGGGTTTAAGCATGAAAGTTATTTCTTGAAACATGGAAATGGTAGTTTTGCAAAAATATCTTAATTCAAGGTCAACTTGCCAGGCTTTGCTGAGGCTTATGACCATAACTTAAAGTCTAAAGATTGAGTTTACTCAGCTGTCATGCAAATGTCTTAAACTTCAATGGTGTGATAACAGGAGTCCATGTATTGGTATATAAAACTGGTGGAAAGAAGACGGATCATTCAAGTTCCCAACCTGTCCCATGATGACAACTAAGTGACTGTGAGATGTGGTTGAAAGCTGTGGAAAAAAAGTAACTAGACCTTGAGTTTAAGGGAAAGTTCTGCATTTTCCAACCTGGACCCTATTTTCCCATGTTTTTGTGTGTAAGTGAATAATCAGAACAACAACTGGAAAAACAAGGTGGAATGTAATCCCTGGGGATAATTAGATACTGTCAGTTTACTTCTTCTATAAGTGCTTGTTTTGTTGTTTTAAGTGTTTGACAACTACATGGAAATGATCCCTACAGAGGACGATCCCTTTTTTTAAACCAGAAACAGACCAGAAATCACCATCGTAAAACCCACCAGACTCCATTTAAATAAACAGTAACTTCAGCATGCCTATAGGCAGCATATTTTCACATCTAATTGGGCAAATTATGGTTTTACTTCAACCAAACCAGAGTTGGTGATTGTTGAAACAGCGTAAAGACAAACAAATACAGCTTTTGCAAGTTTTATTTTGTTTCTGTGGACCTTGAATGAAGTGCGTTTTACAATGATAAAATTATTGTTTAAATGGAGTCTGGTGGGTGTGACGATAGCAATTTCAGGGCTGTTTTTGGTTAATCAGAAAGGATCTAACTCTTTAACAAAGAGGTCTACCTCTGTAGGGATCCTTTCCATAATGTTGCAAACACTTAGAATAACAATCTGAGCGTATCAGAGGCAAAATCAAGCACTTTTAGTTTACGTAAATTGAGGGTGCTCAAGTGCCCCCAGTTTCAAAAATTTGTTTTCTGTTGTTCTGATTAGTCACTTAGACACAAAACCATACAAATATAGGTTGGAAAAATACAGAAGTTACCCCTTAGGGTCCGTTTGGCAAATGAGCTACTTTTTCTTGACTTTTGGTCATCTGAATAATGACTTCTGTCTCTCTAAAAAGAACTAAAGACAGAATCAGCGTTACAAAACCTCTTAGGGAAAAGGGCAGGCTGGATAGCTGGGGTGTGACTGACCTTTGACCTTCCTATAATCCTTGACTAATTAGTTAGCAGATCAGGTTACGATAGTATTAATCACTTCTGGCGTGTTCATTCTTGTCTCTTGAAATAGTATTTTGATGGAGCAATCCCAACTCAAGGTACATCATTCTACCTTTTTCCTAGAGCTTTCATCCATAACACATAATCTTCATCAGCAGAGTTTGTCAATGGAGATGGATCTGTTAAAGTATAAACTCATAAGTCGACCAGGAGATGGGACCTTTTAACAACCAGTCCCAACATCAAGAATTAACACTGTTGTTTAAATTTTGACGAGAAGTCCTAAAAGTGCTGTGGATGAAGCTGTAGTGTCAACAGACCAGTCTCCATGACAACTGAGGACCATTCTTCTGCAAATGAAGACTATCAGATACGGTGTGAAGGTTCAGGAAAAGCTAGCAAGTAGACCTTGTGTTGGGATAGTTTTGTTGCCATCACACTGGCCAACTTGTTTTCATTAGAGATGTCAGAATCACTTTTCGAGTCATGTCACATTTGGAACAGGGGTTGTATTGTTCCTGAATGCAAGTCAAGAGGAAATGACGCATTTCCCCTGCACTGTGAGATTACTATTGACCTGAGAAGTCAATTTACCACCCAGACGTACAGCACATAGCCCACACATGTCCAGGAGTCAATGCAACCTATGGATCCAGCTCAAGACACAAACCCAAGCACACACCCGAGTGATAACCAGAGACCTATTTGAAGGCTGAAATTCAAATCCAAGATATTTGTTCATGGGCACATAAGCGGCAGCCTGGTTGCAGGCTGTTGGCTGGCTGCTGATAGATCCCAATCAGGGGGTCTGTGTGTGTTTCACTCACCCAGATAAACTGTGACCTTTACTGGAGTAGGGAGGCCATGAAAGCAATCTGCTTGTGTAATTACCTGTCAGAAGGGGGCCTGTTACTGCTGGGGAAAACACAGCATATCATCATCTAATCTACAAAGCACAGGTGCTAAGTGTGCGTGTGCGTTCACCGGCGTTGTGTATAACGAAGGTAATACGTGTATGGAGGCATATCATATACATGGGATAATTAATTCTGTATTTAAAAACTGGTGTAGGCGGGATCCGTGCACGTGGCCAGTGAGGAGGGTGCGACGCATAACAAAGTGTTTCTGTGTGTTGAAGTTGCCTGATTGTTCCTTTGTTAAGTCGCTTCATGTAGGTGTGCGCAGAGGGGGTGGAACGTGTGGCACTGGTGCATGTGCCACAGTAATTGTTCTTTCCTTAAATAGCTGCTGTCATAGTTACTGCGTGCCTGTGGGCAGGTTGTTAGAATACATTGGCACCTGAAACCTTTGAAAAACAACTTCTCGAGACTGTGAAGATTTCATGAACATACGCACTCAAGACGAGGTGAAACGCATCATTGTTGTCTTGCAGTTTTTTTTTATATATCTGTGCTTCTTTTTTTTAGGTGCATGTGCAAATTCACCTGCTTCTCATTCTCATCCTCCAGTCTCAGCCGCTCCTCAATGCAGTTGCGGGCTTGTAGGAAGACTTTCCTCTGGGTGCGCTCGGTGAGAATCCTCACAAACACCCCCGACAAGTTGACACTGGTGAACAGCACCGCGTTGGCCACCAGCTGCACACAAACAAGAACAGACATGCCAAACAAAGCTGGCAGCATCTCCTTACTGTATGTACATGTGAGCCTAAGGGGAACACACATGTCCATATGTGCATTTCTGTACTCAATCATACATCCTGGCTGGATTAGACTTTACAATCCTTGATTAATCCATGGGATGGATTTAATGGCAGACATCCAGGTCAGCACATTGATTACATCATGGATCGTACTGTAGGTGTGACTCAAAGAAACAAAAGCCACGGTGGATTGGCTGCCAGACAAAGTGCATTATTGATTAATGATCAGAGGCTATCGATCATGCCGAACACTCGATTTGAAGGATGAACTCTGTAGCCACTTCGTGTGGTTGATCCTAAAAGGTCAGAGGTGAAAGGTCAAAGAAACACTCTTATCCAGCACAGTAAGATGGATGACACAAAACACGACTTCACTCCAGTTCTTAATGGAACAAAGGAAACACTTTCAGTTTTAGTGCAGTGGTTCCCAACCAAAGGGTCTGAACCTCTAAAACAGGGCCACAAAATAAACCTGAAGGGCCATGATATGATAAATAGGAAAAAAAACATATTTGGTCTGCACAAAGTTAAGTTTATTTTCCACAGGCTTCTCTCATTTTTGCCTTTTTTTCTACTAAATTACTGAGTGATTTATCTCCTCAGGCATCTAAAGGTAAACCACAGGAAAAACACTGAACTGGTCACGTCTGGTGATGATTGCAGTGGTTCCCAACTTGGGGGTCTTTATGAATCTAAAGTGTAATGAGGAGACAGAATTGAAAATTTCTGCTACATAAAATTATATTTATTTTTCTGACGTTCTTCTAATCAATGAGCAAAAGGCGTGAATAATTTGACATTTTACACCACCTAACTATTTTAAACAATTTGAGAAGGAATAATTGGTCTTTGGTTGAACTCGACACTATCCAATTATATTTATAACCCAAGATGGGGTTGCAAGTAGACTTCATTTTTTGTGTCAGAAGCCAAAAAGATTGGCAACCACTGACTTATAATGTATTACAACCAATGACAAAAGTTTGTAAAAACTCATATGAATCACAGGAATGTTTGTGTCTCATTGTAGTGGTTCCTGACATGGGGTCATGATAAATCTAAAGGGTAACGAGAAAACAGAATTGACTGATACGCAAAATCATATTCATGTTTCTATCTTTTTTTTCTAATCCATGAGCAAAATGCATGAATAATTTGACATTTTAAGCCACCTAACAATTTCAAACAATTCAAGAAAGAAAAATTGGCCTTTGGTTGAACTGGTCACCATCCAATGACATTTATAACCTGAGGAGGGGTTGAAAGTAGACACAGCTTCATTTTGGGGTCACAAGCCAAAAAGGTTAGCAACCACTGTTTCACAGGACCAGAAATAGCAAGATGTTACATAACTCAGAAGCCATATTAGTTAAAAAAAAAAAAAAAAGCACATCCTAAATACTAAAATTATCACTGGAGCACGGGGACCAGTTAAGACTGCCCAGTAAGTTGTGCATGTGGCTCTGTAGGATTCTGTTTCAGCACCGGCAGCTGGACAGCTCCTCGTCTGCTTCATTACTGAGGTGCGCAGAAGTGAAACTTTCTGCTCGCTTCCAGTTTTACACCTACACTATCCTGGAGCTAGAATCGATCACTGAGGGTGTTTTTAACCTTTGCTTCACCAGGGAAAGCCGGGTGAGTAAGCATGCTGTTCCTCAGCACCACTGTACATTCAAACAATTACTTCATAGCCCAGCTGGGAGCTTCCCAGTACAACTACAAGTCTTCTACACTGGAGCAGCTGCTCAAAGATAGTTGGACTGTGTTTTATGAGTGACATGGAGACTAAGCTGTCTGTCTATCTGACGTGATGATGGCTTAAGTGAAGCTGTTAACTAAGCATACGGCAGTAGAGTTGGTTGAGTGACTGAGGAGCTGACCGGGATGCAGGTGCAGCACTTACCGGTCTCCACAGCTTCTGTTTCCTTCCCGTGAACGACGTCGCTATGACAATAAAGTGAGACGTAGCCAGCATCACCCCGAACAACACAGCCAGCAGCGTTCGCACCGGCAGCAGCACGTAAGCCACGAGGGTGACCAGCATGAGCTGCCACACGCCTTGTTCAGGGGCAGCGGCGCTCAGCAGCTCCGACGTGCCGAGCGCCAGTGGGAACGGACAGCAGAGCAGCGCAAAGGTGAAGCTGAACAGCAGGGCCAGCTTCGCTATCTGCTGCAGCTGCGTCACCTGCAGGTATTTGACGTTAGTGACGATAAACAGCGACAAGAACACCACGCAGTGCACCGGGTAGGAGCCCTTGGACAAGGTGAGACGCGGGCTGGACAGCAGCTCCACCAGAGAAAGCGACGACGCGGCCACGATGAGCACCGCCAGCGCTTTGAGGGTGGCGGTCTGCTCCAGCTTCAGGTTGTAGTTCTGGAAGAGAGCCTCCAGCTCCTGGCTATTGAACTCGTCCTCGCAGGCGATGGCGCCCAGGGGTGCACCGGCCGGGCAGTGACCCTTCCTCCGCCGGGTCTTGACTCTTTCGAATGGCATCTCCTCCATGTTCCGGCCATTCATGAAGCGGGGATGGCGCACGACCCCCTCAACTTTTGCGGTTCCTCTCCTCCGCTCGGGAATCGAACCGGCACCCTCTCCCAGTTCATGCGTCCTGGATGTCCGAGGGTCGGGCTCGGTGTCAGAGGGGAGAGGGTGGCAGTGGAGACAACAGAGCACCGCGCGCGCCCTATCCACAGGTTGACGATTGTTGGTGTGTCGTCAGAAAAGTGGCCCGACCAATGTGCAGCACGCCTCTCTCTCTCTCTCTCTCTCTCTCTCTCTCTCTCTCTCTCTCTCTCGGACCACCTGCGGTGCCTCACACACACACACAGGGTTACTGGTGATCCTTCATGCGCTGCAGCCGGACTCAGAGGAAGGATCACGCTTGTGTATGATGATAATCAAAACAAGCTCACCACGAGGCTCAGCGAACAACCCTTGTCGCAAAAAATAATAATAAAAAAAAATCATTTGACAGTATTTTTCTTTGTTTACTTTCTTTCCATCTCTCTCCTCTGAGACACACAGCTCACACAGAAACACACACTAAATATTATATTCTGCCGTGTGTCGTTCTCCTGCTTTAATTTGCCTCAGTGAAATGTCAGTGGTTGGGTGAAGACAGCAGCAAAACAGCGTTGGTGATTTCCCCTCACAGTGTCTGCAGTCAGAGCTGATGTAGTTCCCAGCTAAAAATAGCCCAGCTGCACCGGTGGATGGTCCAATATAGCAACAATTTGGTCTTTCCCGCATCTCTTCCCCTCATATATTTTATTGCAGAGTCAAGTGCTCATTTCACGCAGAGCATTAACAGAAAAAAACCGTTAGAGAGGGAAGGTAATAGTCGTGCAGGGAGGCTATAAATAGCTCTCTCTCTCTTCCCGAATTAACAGGGAAAATGTTAGAATGCTGACGTGCATCTTAAAATGTAATGCACCATTGTTATGGTTGAGGGCATATATGCATATTTTGTGCGTGCATTTGTGCGCAATTTGTGCATTATGATGCACTTCGTGTTGAAACTTCAACACCCACGAGGATAAATCCGATCGTTGCAGAACAAATACTGACAAAAACAAGGCATAGCAGTGGGAAATGATCGCCAGAGAAGGACATATAAATATGCAAGTGACAGACTCAACAAAAAATCATTCAGAAGAAATGTGAATTAAAATATGGGAAATGAGCGGAGGATAAATGGTCTGCAAAATAGCAGCAGCTGCAGCAGAAAAATGCAGTAATTGACATGAAGAAAAGTAAAAAGAAAAAAAAAGAAAAACGTGTTATATAAGAATATAATGAGCAGAGATATTCAGGATATCCAAAAATGTGCCTGTATCGAAATTGAGATGAGTCATACAAAATGGGACGTGTTTATATGCAGTACTTTTTTGCATATCAATGCCATATAGGTTATTAAATGTGAGCTTAATGCACTCACCTCAAGTTAAAATTAGGAAGTTGCAGGACAAAAATCATCAGATTAAAGATCTGCACCAGTAAAAACACAACTTATATTATCATAAAGGGACATGTAAAATGTAAAAGGGAATTACACATCAGATAAATAGCAAGACTGACAGTAGCAGAAGTACAACATGGAGTAAAGATCATTAAAATGTACCATAGAGGCTTTACTGTAAAATATTTAGTAATAGTTTGCTACAGAGGCCTTCAGGATATCACATGAAGAGCTCACCTGAGTTCCAATCAAACATAATGGGAAGTATTTACATGCATGATATGTTCATACATGTGTGTTACGTAATTACCTTATCATAACATTCCATGTAAAGGTTCAACATACATACTGAGAAGTGACAGTGTGATAATGATAACATTATATTTGAATACAGCAACACCAAACAGGATTTATAGGGATAAGTCCATAGTGATTCATACTGTATGCATAGCCGGATTAACCTCTTTGGGGGGCCCGGGGCATTGCTGGACCCCTATTAACCCCTTGTTCCTCCCCATCTCTGTGGACTGTGTACTGTACTGTGGGAATATTGCATCACCCCAGGTAATCTGGGGTTTAATACAGTTTGGGAGCATGCATTAGTATCAGTTGAAATAATCAGTCTTAAAACAATTTTGACAAAGGAAGGTTTTTAAGACAGAACCTCAAGATTGTGTAACAAAGCCAGACACACAAATTATTTTTCTTTTGGTTTGGGCCTTATATTCATATTCTATGAATGTTTCATTTGGACATTTTCAGTGGAAGTAGCCAAGTCAGCAGGGAAAAAATTGGTTGCATTATACAATTCTGCAAAGCAGGAGTACATTACATTTGCACATTTCATACTATATTTGATATTACATATCACATTTTTAAAGTGAGGTAGTACATGAGTCGACATCAGGAGGTAGAGGGGATGGTGGATTGCACGTCACCTAGGCAAGGTGCCTGCCAAGCTGCAGACAACTGTTGAAGAAAAACAAACAACAAAACTGGTTGTTTTTTAGCCAGTCATTGCTGTGTTTCCTGTGGCTTTTAAGGCCCCAAACATGGGCATTTGCTTTAGCACCCCGTGGCTGTTTTTTAGTGCGAAGAAAACTAGTTCCTTTTACCAAGACAGCACAGCATTTCCTGCCCAGATTATGGCATGAAAAGTGGTTGTTTTCTCTCAGGACATCACTGTGTTTTCAGCAGGGAGTGTGCCCTCAAAACTGAGAATTTTAAGCCCAAACATGGTATTTTCCTAACCATAACCAAGTGGCTTTTGTGCCTAAATATAACAACAGTGTTGTTGAGATGTCAAGTTTCAACAAAACTACCTAATAATGTGCAAATTTTACACATCCAAGATTTGCAGAAACGTACAGTGCCAACATTGCCAATAAAATAAATAATAAACCTATCATGGCTCTTATCGTGTGAGCTTCTATTGAGATTTAGTAGTGTATATTCAGATATTTCAGTTAAGCAAATTTCAACAAAACAATAGTAAACCTGGGTCTTTGAGGCTCCTTGGGGGACTAGGGCCCTTATGCCTGATTTGCCATCCAGAGATAGTTTAAGCAAAGGACATACAAATCTGTCAGTTGGACTGAAATAGAAAAAATAATCAAGGATTCCCCTGGTAGTAAAATCCTGTATCTGCACATATTCTTACATGATTGTCTCCTCCTCCTCCTCCTCCTCCTCCTCCTCCTCCTCACAGCTTTTCATCTGATCTGACAGGAAATTAAAAATAACTGGCTTTTAAAATCTATAACAGCTCCTCTTTAGTGTACACGTACCTTCAGAAGTTATTCGGTGACTTGACCAATGACCTTGCTTTGTTGCCATGTGTGATCTCAGATCACTAAGATATGTGAGGAAGTCATTAGACAGGCTCATCAATGAAGAAGTCAATGTGAAGCACTTTTAGCCCTCCTAACAGAAAGTGTGCACATGCACACAGTCATGTGTTCAATATCCACTATTGTCCAATGTGTCTTAAATCAATAGGCCACACAGATGAGATCACAACAGCACAAAAAAGACAATCTGACCTCCATCCGAGGGGAGACTAATAAGATTTTGTCTGGTGGTGAAAAGAGCTCACACACTGTCATTCTGAAGTCCCCAGACTGTCTTACAGTTAGCATGAAGATTTTAAGCTCCAAATCTGTGTATAAAGCTTTTCATGGACTCGCCTATGAATATGGTTGATAAGCAAACACATAGAGTCCTCTTTCTGCTGCCCACTGTACCAGAACCTCAGATTAATAGAACAGGATGGCACAAAGTGGTACAATATGTGAGAAATTTACTATTTGGAAAATTTCAAAACTGTTAGCAGTGATTTTCACTACTGGTAACATTTTATTTTAAGCCCACTATTTAGCATTTATAAGCCGTTAATAACAAATTAGAAAGTTTGTAGTGCATTATAATGTAATTGTAAGAAACCTTCATGATTTTAACAAAGTTAAACAAGGACTACTTTGTGAGCTCAGACAAAACTACAGCTCTCATGAAATCATGAAATGTATCAGTGTGAGAACACCTGTACTTGCATCTCAGGCAACTCACAAGTTGAAATATTCCGACCTCGTACTCGGAAAAAGAAGCACAAGTTCCTGCTTGTTAACTCAAGGCAAATTTAGCTACCTTAACTTCATGAAAGCACTGTTAGTAAGCCATCACCTTAAAGCCAACATAAAGTACATTTTTTAATTTATTTATTTTACATTTACTTTGTTTTTCATTCATTCATTCATTCATCTTCTAACCGCTTCATCCTCTTGAGGGTCGCGGGGGGTGCTGGAGCCTATCCCAGCTGACATTGGGCGAGAGGCAGGGTACACCCTGGACAGGTCGCCAGACTATCACAGGGCTGACACATAGAGACAAACAACCATTCACGCTCACATTCTCACCTAAGGACAATTTAGAGTTACCAATTAACCTAGTCCCCAATCTGCCTCTTGCTGTGAGGTGACAGTGCTAACCACCACACCACCGTGCCGCCCTTACTTTGTTTTTAATGTCATTAATTTATTTCTTGTCTTGTACATTTCAGTCAATAAGGAAGGGGGGTAGGTATTATATAGTATTTGTATTAGTACAGTGAATGCAATATTTTGATACCTTTCCAAGTATGAAAGTGTTGTAAATTTGTTTCCTCCTCTGGTTATATGCAGGGAGGCTGCACTGCTGACTGTTCAGTTGTGTGTACATCTGCCAAAGAAACATCGCTTCTTCACAGTCAGCCATGTTTTTTGTTTACATCTCGTGTTGTGCACCTGTAATGCTCCATGGTCAGAAGTTGGACATTTCTACTGGAAATTTCCAACCTCTGACTTTAACTGTAGTGCAGCATTATGTCATCGTACTCTTACTCCATATCTATAACTCTCATCAAAGCTCTCTTCTACAGTCATTTTACTTTTTTTAAGCTTTAATTGCTGCTGTCAGTCCTCTCTATTCTGCTGTTATTACAGACATGTCTGAGTTAGCCGCCACCATTTGACTCATCATGAACTCTTACCGTTTGTCAAACAGACATGTTTAGCTTTTAAGGGTCTGGGGCTCATAGGACATGGTGTTCGTATAAGTAATTTCAAAAACAGACATATTAGATAAACAGTGATATCAGATCATTTTTCCAGAGCTAGAAATAGATTAATTTGTCAAACTATTACTTCCAAGGTCAATATGAACTTGAACTTTAGTACATGACCATGTGCATATAATGCCTGTGTATGTATATGTGCTGTATCATATATTTTTTTATGCCTCCATGCTGTCTAAAGCTGTGGCCGGAGGCGTTATGTTTTCAGATTGCCCATCCATCGG